CGCGGACGAAGACAGCTACTCCAAGGAGACCGCGTAACAGCAGTCTCAGAACCCTCAGGCAACTCACCCCCAGACTCAGCACCCCCAGGCTCCGCACACACAGGCTCAGCACCCCCAGACGCAGCACCTCCAGACGCAATACCCCGAGACGCAGTACCTCCAGGCTCCTCACGCGCAGGCTCAGCACCTCCAGGCTCCACACGCTCAGCGCCCCCAGACTCAGCACCCCCAAGCTCCGCACCCCCAGGGACAGCACCACTCCCAGCAAGACCGGAGTCACCAGTGACCTCAACAGGCGCAGGCGCAGGGGGGTCTACCTGAGAGACACCTGAAGGAGCAGGACCTGGCACGGGGAGGGGGTCTACCTGGCGAGAAAGAGCGGCGGGGGGGGGGGCGAGGAGCAGTGCGGTAGGGGAAGAGGCGGTAAAAGGGGACCGACTCGTCAAAGGTGACATCCTGAGACACAAAGACACGGCGCGAGGCGGGGTCGTAGAACTGCCAGCCAGGCGCGTCAGGGACAAAGCCAAGGAAGACGCAAGGAATGGCGCGAGGGGAGAGCTTGTCCGCGGTGGTATCGCGGACAAAGGCACGAGCACCCCAGACCCGGAAACGCGACGCGTCGCCAACCTTCCCCGTCCACAGCAGTGTGGGCGAGGTCTCCGGCAAGGAGACACGGGGCCAAATGTAGAGCTGATGCGCGGCGTACCGGACCGCAAACGGCCACAGAAAATGGGGGGTAGCCGCATGGATCATGGAGGTACGAGCGACCTCCATGACTAAGCCAATGCGGCGCTCAGCAACCCCATTCTGCTGTGGAGAGGCCGGAAGCGTGAAAGTCTGGCGGATGCCGTGCTCCGCACAGAAGGCTGCCAAGAGGTCTGAGGAGAACTCACCACCTCTGTCAGAGTGCAGACGCAGGACACGAAAGTCCGACTGGAACCGCTCGCGGAGCTGGAGACGAGTAGCGCGGATCCAGGGGATTAAAACATCAGGGACATCCCCCTTGCGCTGCAAGGGGAAGACCGTGGTGTAGCGCGTGTAGTCGTCGACAACCAGCAGGAAGTACCGCTCGTGGCCCTGTCCACGGACGCGGGCTGGGCCCCACACGTCCAGGTGGAGAGTCTGCAGTGGAGCCTCTGTGGGAGGGAACGAGGAGGAGTGAGGAGCGGCGCGCTATCGCCCCTCGACGCAAGGAATGCAGGGCGGCGTAGGCGAGGGAGGGAGGGGAGGCAGAGACCTGGGAAGACCAGAAACCAGGAAGCGGGAGTGCATGCTGCGCAGGCGAGGCATGGAGGGGTGATCGAGGCGGTGGTGCCACAGGAGAGTGTCGTGCGACAGCCGGCGACACTCACACTGTGTAGCTACCTGAGCAGACGCGTGCAATTGGGGAGACAAAGGGGCGGAGCGTGACGCAGTGGTGAGGGTGTACAGACTGGACCCTGGCGCACGAGCGAACGTGGCCAGGTGGCGACCAGTCTGGGAGCACGTTCAAATCGCCACACGCTGCCGGCCAGGGGTGAAGGTGTCAACCCCCGCATCCTGGAGGACAACGTTACTCACCAAGTTCGTAGAGAACGAGGGGAGGTGGAGACCAGACAGCTCACCAGACGGGACCGCCGGACACGGAAGCACAGTGGAAGACCGTGCAAGCACTGGGCCCCCAGAGGGGTCAGCCAGTGAGACAGGAACAGGTGCAGGGAGGGGAGTGACTGTGGTACTGTCGCGAAAGAAACAGCGGGAAGCACCAGAGTCAAGTGTAAAGGTGTGCAAGGCCTGTGCAGGCGCAGGACCAGGGGGAGCAGACTCACAAGCACCTAGTGCTGCAGGGGCTATACCAGGGGTTATACCAGGAGCCGGCGGCACACACAAGTAGCAGTCACCCTCAGCACTAACAGACAATGCATACATAGCAGCAAGAATTGCCTCATAGTCAAGATCAAAGATAGGGACATCACGCCTAAGCAAGTCTGCCCAGTTGGGGAACTCAGGAGCATCAGGAAACTTGGCACGCCAGGCGTCGCTAAGTCGAGCAAAGCAGCGCTGCTCAGTGTGAAAACCTGTGCACTGGCGACCAGTGCGGGGACCTGTGCGGATAATATAGGGGCAACGACCAGGACCCCTAGAAACCCCACGCCCGGCATACCAATCAAGAAGCTGCTGGGAAGTGGGGGTCTGGCGCTGTCGCTGATGCTGCTGCTGCGGCTGCTGCTGGCCCTGACCACCACTGCCACCACCGCTCCCTCCTCCCCCACTGCCGCTGCTGCCCCCTCCACCGCTCCCAGTGCCTCCGCCGCCCCCACCACCACCTCCACCGCCTCCACCCCCACGACTACCCCCACCACCTCCACCTCCCCCACCGCCTGCACCACCGCCACCTCCACCGCCACCCCCACCGCCCCTGCCGCCCCTGCCGCTGCGACGCTTCCCACTAGGAGCGGAAGCAGCTCCGACCTCCTCAGCACCAAGGTAGTCGTGAGCAGCAGCTGCGGAGGCGTAGGAGGGGGTGAGAGGGGAGGGGGAGCACCCCTCAAAGAGGGGAGAGCGAGGAGTGCCACGAGCAGCACCTACAGCGAGGATGTTCTTCTCTGCTGCGAGGAGGTGCTTTTCGAAGTCGTCGACAGTGAGAGTGGTGGGGTCTAGCGCTAGGAAGTGGTCCCTGACAGAGCTAAGAGTGTCAGGGAGGCGGGTGACGAGGAAATAGAGAGTGAAGTACATCGGGGGGGGGTTTGCGGCGCATAACTCGGCTGAAAGGGCGGCACGAAAGCGAGAGTCAGTAGCGCGCAGGTGAGAAACTAGGTCCTCAGCAGTGGTGAACGAGGAAAGATCGGGGAACAGGTATGGTAGCATGAGTCGACCTATGGCTGCAGTGGCCGGGGAGGAGTAGCGCGCAACTACAGCGTCGTACAGTGTCTTAGCAGTTCTGTGCTGGCTGAAATGCGCTCGCTCAGTAATCGGCAGGTGGTTCCTAATAGCTAGGCGTGCAGCAGCATCACGAGTCTGCCACTGGGAGCGTTCTAGAGCAGGAGCATCAGCAGCAGGAGTAACGGCAGTGCCAGAGATGTAATCAAACAGGGAAACACCCTCTTTGGCATCAGTCAGAAGGAACAGCTGGAGATCGTCTAACCACACAGCGAACTCGATGGGACGACCGTCAGGCTCGAACGCTAGAACGTTAGGCGTCGCCATATTGGCTTAAGGCAGGAGGCAGCAGGCAGCAGGCAGCAGGCAGAGGCAGCAGGCAGCAGACAGGAGGCAGTAGGCACCAGGTAGGAGGCAGGCAGCAGAGGCAGGAGGCAGGAGGCAGGAGGCAGGGGCAGCAAGCAGCAGGCAGGCGGCAGCAGGCAGCAGGCAGCAGGCAGGCAGCAGGCAGGCGGCAGGCAGGCGGCAGCAGGCAGCAAGCAGGCAGGCAGGCAGCAGGCAGGCAGCAGGCAAGCGGCAGTAGGCAGCAAGCAGCAGGCAGGCGGCAGCAGGCAGCAGGCAGGCAGCAGGCAGGCGGCAGGCAGGCGGCAGCAGGCAGCAAGCAGGCAGGCAGGCAGCAGGCAGGCAGCAGGCAGGCGGCAGCAGGCAGCAAGCAGCAGGCAGGCGGCAGCAGGCAGCAGGCAGGAGCGGCCTGAGGGCGGCTGCTGGCTGCGTGTGGCGGCTTGCTGCGCGAAGCTGCAGGCTGCGCGTGGCTACGGGCAGCGCGCGCGGCCGCAGGCTGTGTGCGGCGACGGGCTGCGTGCGCTGCGGGCTGCTTGCAGCTGCGGGCTGCGCGTGGCGACAGGCAGCGTGCGCGGCTGCAAGCTGCGTGCGGCTGCGGGCTGCGCTGGGCGACGGGCCGCACGTGCGCGGCTGCGGGCTGGTCGCTAAGCTGCGGGCTGCGCTGGGCGACGGGCCGCGCTGGGCGACGGGCCGCGCTGGCGTGGCCTAACCAGGTTGCGCGCGGGCGGCTTAAGGGGCGCACAGGTGGGGCCGAAACGGGCTGCGCGGGCTGCTGAAGCGGCGCACGTGGGGAAAAAAAAAAAAAAGGACCGCCCGAGGCGCGCGCGGGCAGCCGAGGCGCGCGCGAGCACTAGACAAGGCAGGCAGGTACGGTGGGCCCTAATCCTAGGTCCTAAGGACCTATGCTCTAGATGCCATGTTAGAATCCTAGGCAAAAGTTGTATTGCAATGTCGAGAGGTTTGGTACAAGAATGAAACCTAAGGGGTTGTACCCCACAGTGAGTACCCCACTAAAGCCTATCTAAACAACAACATATACACATATGTTTGACACTGCTGGCTCACGGGTATACCACCCGTCGTCGGTAAGTCGCCATGGGCGAGCTCTCTTGTTCTTGAAGAGGAAGTGCATCCCGCTGAATTCCGCCATGGCTTCGCCAGCCAGGCGGCCTACACTGGAATCTGAATGAAAAAAATGAGAACGAGGGTGCACACGAGGGCAAAGAAGGGGACCCCGTAAGGTTGGCGCCTCGGGGTCCTCGTCAATGACAGGTGGGAAACCCCCGTAGAGGACCTTGCGTGGCAGCATAAACGCTGCGCTGGCAGGGAATATTCCCCACCCTTCGAGAGGGTTCGGAAGAAATGCACATGCCACGCAATGCATGCGACTGTGATTGGGCCGCACGGCAACATCCCCGTCACTGCTGTCACGATTGATGGTTCTAGACAAAACTGTGCGGTGGGAAACCGAACCGTTGCTGTTTTTGTCTGGAAACCATGCACGATCCCACGTGTTGCATGGTCGGTTGAATTCGCCTTATTGCGGGCTTCAATTTGGTATGTTTAAAAGTGATTTTTTTTTTCCTATTACAAGCGCATGCGCTTTTACGCATGACTCGATTAGAAGCGCACCCCCCTAAAAAGCACTGTTTTATTATAAGCGCACCTGCGCTTCTATCCGGGGTAATACGGTATGCTAGTACCATAACATACTGAATTTCATGAACCGAGCCGAGCTTCATTAAAAAAAAAAAAAAAGACTTAACAGTGTAAGCGGAATGTAACATGCAAGATGGAGTTTAGTAACGGAATGACTTTCTAGGGCGGAGGCGGTCCCGCTCATTCATCCAATCAGAGAGCGCCTTGAGGCCCACCCCAGCAGTAATCAGCAGGATGAGGAGGACGCAAAGGAGACTGATTATGACGGCCCACCGCCGCACAGCAGGAGGGATGAAGCCCTGAGGATGGGAATATGGGGAGGGGGGACACTGATGCAAGTGAGCCTTGAGCCTTGAGGTCCACCCCAGCAGTGATCAGCAGGACGAGGAGGAAGCAGAGGAGAGTGATGATGACGGCCCAGCGCCGCACAGCAGCAGGGATGAAGCCCTGATGATAGGCGAAAAAGGGTAGGGGGTAAGGGGAGGGGAAAGAGTGATGCAAGCGCCTTGCGCCTTGAGCTCCACCCCAGCAGCAATCAGCAGCAAAGGAGAGTGATGATCACGGCCCACCCCCGCACAGCAGGAGGGATGAACCCCTGATGATGGAAAAATGAAGGGATTCAAAACAAGATGAGCCAAGGAAAGGAGATGCCATGAATGCTGCAAGTGCCTTGAGCTGCACCCCGATAGCGAGCAGCAGCAGGAGGAGGAAGCAAAGGAGAGTCATTATGACAGCCCAGCGCTTCACAGTAGGAGGGATGAACCCCTGATGATGGGAAGAGGTGAGTGATGCAAGTTCCTTATGCCAGGCCCACTGCAGCGGCAATCAGCAGCAGGAGGAGGAGGAAGCAAAGGAGAGTCATTATGACAGCCCAGCGCATCTTTTGAGTCGACTCAAAACACGACAAAGGAGAGTGATGATGACAGCCCAGAACTTCACAGTAGGAGGGATGAACCCCTGATGATGGGCGATTGAGGGGCGGGGGTGTTGGGGATGAGTGAGGGAAAGGGGCAGAAAGAGAAAGGGAAGGGGGTGAGTGAGAGAAGTGAGTTGAGGTCCATTCAGCAGCAAACAGCAGGACGAGACTTTTGAGTCGACTGAAAAGTCAACGCGTTGAGGCCCACTCAGCAGCAAACAGCAGGAGGAGGAGGAGGAAGCAGAGGAGAATTATGATGGCGGCCCAGGGACGCACAACAGGATGGATGAACCCCTCATGAGGGACGATTGAGGGGAGGAGGGAGGGGGGATGGTTGGGGTGGGATGAGTGAGTGGAGGGAAGGGAAAACACTGATGGAAGTGCCTTGAGCCCCACCCCAGAAGCGAGCAGCAGCAGGAGGAGGAAGGAGGAGGCAAAGGAGAGATGATGACAGCCCACCAACGCACAGCAGGAGGGATGAAAGCTGGATGTTTTTAACCTCAGCCACTGACTTCAAAAAGGCCCACAAAATACTTGTCAGAAATACTTGGCATAATTTTAATGAGAGTACTTGTGAAAATAATCCACAGAAAATACCCGAATGATGCTAAGGCTGTGCACGTACAAGTAGAGAGGAAGAGGAGTCATCATCTTCATCTGCTGCTGACTTTCTTCTCCTCCGTGCTCCCCTCTGCTCATGCCATGCCATGTCATGCCGTGCCATGTCATGCCGTGCCATGTCATGTCATGTGATTTTACCAAGCAAAGCCATTCCATGTCAATGCAAGCAGCGAAAGAACATGCCCATGCGTTTGGGAGGAACAAAATGTAACAGAACACCTTTAAAAGAGTCCAAGAAGAATAGATACAGCATCGGTCATCCGAAGACCGATGCCACAACGAAGCCATCAGGCCCAAAACCGATTCAGGCACACAGGGGAAACAACATTATGGAATCGGAGGTAGAAACAAACTACCTCTTGAAAGACACAAGAGGGAAATTGAAGTGGCACATGTAAAGTCGCATATGTGAAGTGACAAAGGCAGCACATTCATAATTTCTAACAAAGCACCTTAGAGAAATCTCGAAAGTGACTCCACGGTCCACCACGGGCCGCTGCCTTCATACTAAAAAAAAACAAGACCAACACAAGACAAGCACAAGACAAGCACCATCGACACTCACAGCAGCTTCAGCCTCGAGTCGAAGCCTCTCTGCCTCTGCTGCTGTTGCCTTCATACCATCAAAACACAAGACCAGCACAAGACAAGCACAAGACAAACACAAGACAAGCACCATCGACACTTACAGCAGCTTCAGCCTCGAGTCGAAGCCTCTCAGCCTCTGCTGCAGCAGCTGCCTTCCTCTCTGCCACTCGCTTCTCCTCCGCCTCCCTCCGCTTCCTCTCCTCCTCCTGAATGCGCCGGCACTCGTTGTCACATGGTATCAGCCCCACCCCCACCATTGACTCCCGCAGTCTCCCGCCCCCACCACCACCACCGCCCCCGCCACTGCTGCTGGCATTGGCGCTGCTGTCTGCACTGCTGGTGGGGATGCTGGCACCATTGGCAGCAGCTTTGGCAGTTTCGGATTGCACTTGGGAGCAGAGCCACTCGCGTTTGAGCCGCAGGCATGCGCAGCGCACCGTTACCTGGTGGGGTGAATGGTAAGGAATGTGGGAGTGAACAGTAAGGAATGTGGGAGTGAACAGTAAGGAATGTGGGAGTGAAGAGTAAGGAATGTGGGAGTGAATGTAAAGCAATACATGGTGGGTTGCACTTGGGAGCACAGTCACCCTTTCTTGAGACTCAGGCATGCGCAGCGCACTGTTACCTGTCGAATCTTGGAGGCGCGTGGGAAGCAGGCAATGGAAACAAGGTGATGGAAAGCAAAGAGGCTAGGATGACACATTTCCATGCTCATGTGAGAACGGAAACACACACGCAAGCACACATGCAATGCAACCATGCACACGCACTGGTAAACATGAAAACACACACAAACCCACCTTCTTGCGGCACTGTGTGGGCTTGGGGCAGGGGCCCGGATGACAAATTTCCACACATATGTGCGAACAGCAGCACTCACACAAGTACGCGTGCACTGCACACATGGAAACACACAAACCCACATTCTTGCGGCATTGTGTGGGCTTGGGGGAGGGGCCTGGATGACACATTTCCACACATATGTGCGAACAGCAGCACTCACACATGCACACAAGCACACATGCACACATGCACACACACACAAACCCACCTTCTTGCGGCATTGTGTGGGCTTGGGGCAGGGGCCGGGATGACACATTTCCACACACATGTGCGAACAGAACGGCAGCTTCCTGGAAGGTGCAAGGAGATTGCAAGAAGAACAACGATAATGGCAAGGTCACTGTCGCGTGGGAGAAACTACAAGGGAGTATATATTGTGATTCGACTGAACGGTCACCGTACATAAGCAAATCGCAGCACTGGAAAAGAGAAATATAACATAAATTGCCATGGTACCATTGGCACGCCACTCCAAGTAGAAGCAACTCACTTGAACCAACAAGGAAAAACCATTTTTGAGGCGCCTTGAAAAACCACCACCAATGAATAACACGTAACTACAAAGAACAAGTGACTCAGAGAGCACTCACTTGTGGCAGGGCCCGGTGCAAAATACCATCTTTCGTCTCTCTCACTGCCTCTCTCATTGCTTGTCACAATCCTCTCAACCCACAAATCAACTATAGAACTTGCCAAGCGCTTATACTCACTTGTGGCAGGGCCCAGTGCAAAATACCATCTTGAGTTTGATTCTCTCTGCCTCTCTCATTGCTCGTCACAATCCTCTCAACCTACAACTCAACTATTTAGCTGGCAAAGCGCTTATACTCACTTGTGGCAGGGCCCAGTGCAAGACACCATTTTGATTCTCTCTGCCTCCGTGGCGGCACCCCATTGGCCACACTCGATGGCATGGGTCATGATGCCACAGTAGCACCGTTTCCTTAAAAGGTTTTTGCACGGCGGGCAGCTGCCCGGATGACATGGCTCTGGGCAGGGATGCGCACATGGAGGGTCCCTGGGCTGCCCAGTGAAAAAAAAACATGGGATTGTGGATGAAAGAAGATGGGATATAACAGGACTGCTAGTGTGTGAATTTCACAAGAACCTCGAAACGTTGACACATTGTGTGTCCCCTCAAACGCGACATTTCACTCACGTTTGTACAGTTGGCATCGCGACATCCTACGTCGGTACAGTTGAAATCTTTGAGTCTTGAGTGCGTACGTCACCTTCTGGACTGAACCCTTGCAACAGAAGAAGGTGCGACAAACCTTGAGAATCGACATAGAGAAACATATTCAGCCTGTACTGAAGCAGGACGAGGAGGAATTGGTGGAAGTCAACCCCGAGCCGAAGCTAGGGGAGATCTTGAGGCTGTTGTTTAAGACAGTCCGCACACTGCTTGCTGCAGCGGCCACGCGTTAAGGCTCTCCTTTCTCTGATGTGTTTTCAATAACCCTTCTAAGGCTTGTGCGAGACCTCCTCGCCATGGCCGATGCAGAGATGACTTTTGAGTCGACTCAAAAGTCTCCTTGCCATGGCCGATGCAGCGAAGAGCATGGTGAATGATAAACGAGCTACTGCCGGCTGTATCTGTATCCTGTAGCTGTAGCTGTAGCTGTAGCAGCAAGGAGGTGGGCATGTGTCAATACAACCACCTTCAGACCACTCTGCCTTTAATTTGTGAAGCTTGAAGGGTTTGTTGGGCAACTTGCCTCTATTGTTAAGCCTCAACGCGCGGCCGCTGCAGCAAGCAGTATGTGGATTGTCTTAAACAACAGCCACAGGATCCCCCCTAGCTTTAGCTCTGTGTTGACTTCCACCCAATCCTTCTCTTCCTGCTTCAGTACAAGCTGAATATGCTTCTCTATGGCGCTAAATACCTCCCGTACATAGGTTTGGAAGGGAGGAGAGTGCGAGGGACCAACCTTCTAGCATGGTCACTTGCAACTTGCAAGGGTAGCATGAGTCACGCGAAAAAACTCATTCCTCCCTCCCCTCCCTCACGAAGCTTGCAGCAAAGAGAACCAACCTTCTGGCATGCTCGCTTGCAAGGGTAGCAAGTGTCACGAAGCAAATTCCTCCCCTCCTCTCCCCCCTCTTCCACCTCCCTCACTCCTCCCTCCTCCTCCTCCTCCTCTCCTCCCTCATCTCCCTCGCCTGCCACCAGCACTCTCTGCCCGTCTGCGGTTCGCGGGCGGGTGATGACGTGGCACGCCAGCTGGCATGCGTGGTTACCGCATGCAAGAGGGTTACCGCAGGGTAGCTCGCATGAGAAGGCAGGGTCATGAGAGCAGGGAAGCTGGGTGTGGGGGGTAAAGGGTGGAGGGAAGCAGGGAGTTTGGGAAAAGGAAGAGTTGAAAACGTCACTACATTCAGTTTGCCCGAAATAATTTTCAGAGATTTTGTGTTCCTGTTGAACCGAACAGGAGTTGGACTTTTTGCTCATGGCCAGGGGGCACGGAGACCCCTGCTTTCCTCGATTTCCCTGGTACCTGGAAGCACTCACCTCGCAACCTTGCCCCTGGTACCTGGACTGGAAGCACTCACCCCTGCTTCTTTTGCTTGCCCTGCTATGACCACAATATAGGCCCTGGTGTCGTACCTCGCACTCCTGCCCCTGGTGTCGTACCTCGCACTCCTGCCCCTGGTGTCGTCCTCTGCATTCTCGCACCACTGGCACCACACACGGCGGGCACGGCGACCCATGCTTTCCCTGCCCCTCCTCCTCCTCGCCCTCCTTCTTCCCTTTCTTCTTCTTCTTGGGTGGTTCAAGGGAGAAAGGTGGGTTGGGAGGCGGGCGGGGACCGTGACACCTGGTGAGGAGGAAAGGAAGGGGAAGGAAGGGGAAGGAGGGGGAAGGAAGGGGAGGGAAAGGGAGGGGAAGAGGAGGGAAAGGGAGGGAAAGAGGAAAGATCAGTGAGAAGGATCACTCCTCTTTCTCGATGCATCGAATCGAATCATCCTCCTCCTTAACCTTCTTCTTCCCTTTCTTCTTCTTTTTAGAAGGCTCACCAGAGAGACGGGCCGGCTGGGAGGCGGGGGGGTGTGGTCATGCCACCTGGTGGGGGGGAAGCTTAGCAGTGTTGTAAGCTTCCAATGATGATAAAAAAAACACCTGAGAAGACACCTGAGAGAACATCTGAAAAATCACCTGAGGGGCATGAAGCACACCTGAGCGGGCAAGAGTGGCCGCAGTCAAAGGGCTCGCTGCAAGGGAGGCTGCAAGGAGGGCACGCCCCGTAGTGACAGCGATGCGGCTGTGATTATAAAGGGGGGAAGGGGATGGCAAGGGGGGGGGAAGGGCTCGTATTTGTCGCCTGGGGTGAAGCAGAAGAGACACACCCTGTGGTGACAACAGTGCGACTGCGCATGGGAGGGTGCATGAGTCACTCACCCGACAGGAATCCCCGTGGTGGCATGTGGGGGGCACGGGGCAGCGCATGTGGCATCTGGGTGGGCGCTGTTGCTTCTCCGCTCCACAGGGTACCTGAGGAATGGAGAGAGTGAAGGGAGGGAGAGACATATGACGATTGAGGGGGATGAGGGGTACAGCACGCACAGTAAGGGGCATGGCATGGCATGGCACGTGGCACCAGGGATGGCACTGCTGCTTTTCCGTTCCACAGGGGAAGTGCGGTGTGAAGCAGAGTAGGGAAGGAGATGTTAGAATTGTATGTTCTAGCATGCCAACACTTGTGACTGTACACCAATTGTGGTGTACAGTGAGTTGGGACTACACCCAACTTTGGGTGTAGTCTTGCATTGTGGGGTGCCAATCCAACCCAATTGTGGTGGAGCCCCCAAATGCAACCCACTTGGCCTCAGGATGCCTCACTTCCCAAAAGTGAGGCCAACCCAAGCCAAGTGGGCCTGAGGTTGCCTCATTGGAGTGACTTTTGAGAATTCTCAAAAGAATTCTCAAAAGAATTCTCAAAAGAATTCTCAAAAGTCACTCCAAAAGTGAGGCCAACCCAACCCAAGTGGGCCTCAGGTTGCCTCACTTCCCACCAAGTGTGGTCAACCCAACCTTTCTCCTCCAAGCTTCTCATCCAACCTATGTATGCTTGTTTCTCCTCTAATCAAAATAATCATTCTCTTTCCAATCTTCACAGGAGAGAGAGACACACATGTGAAGTGAGGGGTAGGGGAGGCAAGGCAGCATATGAAGATTGAGGGGGGTTGGGCAGGCAGCGTATGAAAAGCAGTGGAGGCATTAAAGCCTTTTGAATCGACCCAGCAGAGAGAGCGTGACTCACGGAAAAAGCAGTGGTGCCACAGAAGCAGGCTATGCGGACAGTGACCGGGCAGGGAGCACAGGGGCCGCTGGAAGGAAGGGAAGGGGAGAGGGAAAGGGAGAGAGCAGAAGCAGAGCATAGAGACATGTTAGTAGAAGCAGGAGCACACAAGGATCACAGACGCATGCGATACGCACTGTGACCGGGCAGGGGGCACAGGGGACGTTGGAAGGAAGGGAAGGGAAGGAGGAGTAGGGAGAAAGGGTGGGAGAGAGGGGAGAGAGAGAGGACAGAGAGGGGAAAGGGATGCTGGTTAGGAAGGAGGGTGTGTAAGGGGCAAGGGTGGGTATACGGCAACAGAGTGCCATGCAGACCGATGGCAAACAAAAAAGGAAGTGTTTTACGAAACAAATCAGCGTTGCAAAAAGCATTTCCTTTTGAACCAGCACACTGAACTGACCTGTGGCAAGGACTTATAAGGCGCTCTAAAGCTTTTTAACACTGAACCATCAACTGAACCGACCTGTGGCAAGGAGCGGGGCATTTGTGGTTACCACACCGTAACTTGCGACCACAGACCTGGACGCACAAGCATAAAGGAAAAGGACAAAAAACTTAGTGCAAGGAAACAGCAACGGAGTAAAGAAGCATGAAAGAGAAGGGGGCACAAGAGACTCCTTGGTCTCAGTTACAGCATATGAGGACAGGTTTTTTTTTAGCATTCTTTGAGAATTCTCAAAAAAATCCCTACAGCATACGAAGTCCCCTTACCTCGGGGCAGAAAGGGCATTCGCCAGTACAACACCATCGCTTGTGAGGCGGCCTACAATAACTGTTGGCTAACTCAACCTATCTCTACCTATGTATACCTCAGCAGCTCAGCTCACTGGAGCTTCATTGGTGTAAATTCTCCTTTTGAATACAGATAAGACAACCAGATAAGACAACCAGATACGACGGGACGCCACTCCTGAAAATTCTCAACAGAGACTCTTCGCCTCGGGTCGGGGCAGGGAGGACAGTCGCCAGCTCATTACCGTCGCTTGTACAGGTGGCGCCCATACGGCTACACTTGTGAGAGACAGAGCACCTGAACTGAATACATGACAGGACTTGATGACGATCAACGTTGAGACAGGACAGAGGGAACCGTCACCTCAGGGCACGGAAGGCAGTCGCCAGCACAGCAGAGTTGCTTGCACAGGTGGCGGCCGCATGGGTACCGCTGTAGTGAAAAAGAGTGCATTTTAACGCATAACATGACACTCTACCTCAAAACTAGTTTTAACGCATAACATGACACTCTACCTCAAAACTAGTTTTAACGCATAACATGACACTCTACCTCAAAACTAGTTTTAACACATAACATGACACTCTACCTCAAAACGGGACACAGAGAGAACCCTCACCTCGGGGCAGGGAGGGCAGTCTCCCGCACAGCAGCGCCGCTTGCACAGGTGGCGCCCGCACGGCCTGCCACGCTGGCAGCGGCGATCGCACAGATACTCCTGATGGCAGGGCAGCTGTGAAGGGGAGGGGAGCAAAGGGGGATGTGGGAGAAGAGGGGGGGAGGGAGGGAGAATAGAGGGGGTGTGATGGTTGGGAAAGGAGCAGCTTTGGCTCAACTAACCCACATGGCCTGCCATGCTGGCGGCGGCGATCCCACAGATACTCCTGATGGCAGGGCAGCTGTGAAGGGGAGGGGAGCAAAGGGGGATGTGGGAGAAGAGGGGGGGAGGGAGGGAGAATAGAGGGGGTGTGATGGTTGGGAAAGGAGCAGCTTTGGCTCAACTAACCCACATGGCCTGCCATGCTGGCGGCGGCGATCCCACAGATACTCCTGATGGCAGAGGAGAAGGTTGGGGTTGGAAGGAGAGGAGGCAAGAAGAGGAGGAGAGAGAAGGGAGAGGGTGTGTTCGGGTGCAAAAATCAGTGACCATGTGAAAAATCAGTGACCATGTGAAAAATCAGTGACTATGTGAAAAATCAGTGACCATGTGCAAATAGCACAGGTAGGTTCCCATTGTGGGAGAGGAGCTTGTTGGGGCCTGCCACGCTGGCAGCGGCGATCGCACAGATACTCCTGATGGCAGGGGAGCTGTTGGGAGAAGAGAGAGTGGGGAGCACAGGTTCCCATTGTGGGAGAGGAGCTTGTTGGGGCCTGCCACGCTGGCACACGGCAATAATACAGGTTACAAACACTCCTCCACATGGCACCTCTGCGCACACACATGCCATGCGATGCAGCGCCGCACCTTGCAAGCAGACAAGGCAAGAAAGACAGGCACTTCTTTGTTGTAAGCCTCTTGCTCACCTCTTTAGTCACTCCGCCGCACTGACATCTCTTCACACACACATCTGATGTGATGCATGCACCTCTGTGAATAAAGGGATCTCACCTCTTTAGTCACTCCGCCGCACTGACATCTCTTCACACACACATCTGATGTGATGCATGCACCTCTGTGAATAAAGGGATCTCACCTCTTTAGTCACTCCGCCGCACTGACATCTCTTCACACACACATCTGATGTGATGCATGCACCTCTGTGAATAAAGGGATCTCACCTCTTTAGTCACTCCGCCGCACTGACATCTCTTCACACACACATCTGATGTGATGCATGCACCTCTGTGAATAAAGGGATCTCACCTCTTTAGTCACTCCGCCGCACTGACATCTCTTCACACACACATCTGATGTGATGCATGCACCTCTGTGAATAAAGGGATCTCACCTCTTTAGTCACTCCGCCGCACTGACATCTCTTCACACACACATCTGATGTGATGCATGCACCTCTGTGAATAAAGGGATCTCACCTCTTTAGTCACTCCGCCGCACCGGCATCCCTTCACCACCACAAGCAGACACTTGTTGGAGCACTTCCCCATGTGACACCGCTCAGCACACACGTGCCATGCCATGCCATGCCATGCCATGCCATGCCATGCCATGCATGCACCGATGCAACCGAGTCCATCCTAGTATTCTCACCTCTTTAGTCACTCCGCCACACCAGCACCCCTTCACCACCACAATCAAGCAGCTTTTCGAGCACTCCCCCACGTGACACCTCTCCGCACACACGTGCCATGCACCAATGCAACCAACAGTCACAGGAGTCTCACTCACCTCTTTACTGCCTCCGCCGCAACGGCACCCTTTCACCACACAATAAGGCAGGTTTCGAGCACCCCCCCATGTGACACCTCTCAGCACACACACACATCCAATGCGATGCATCAGCCCACTCAGAGAGTGGTTTGAGTCAACTCAGACACACAACCTCCCCTTCCTTACAACCCACTCAGAGAGTGGTTTGAGTCAACTCAGACACACAACCTCCCCTTCCTTACAAGCCAAGCCACTCAGAGAGTGGTTTGAGTCAACTCAGACACACAACCTCCCCTTCATTACAACCCACTCAGAGAGTGGTTTGAGTCAACTCAGACACACAACCTCCCCTTCCTTACAAGCCAAGCCACTCAGAGAGTGGTTTGAGTCAACTCAGACACACAACCTCCCCTTCCTTACAACCCACTCACCTCTTTAGTCACTCCGCCGCACCGGCACCCCTTCACCACCACAATAAGGCAGGTCTTAGAGCATTCCCCCACATGGCACCTCTCCGCACACACGTGCCGCCCGCAAGCCAAAGGTTTTTCGCACGTTGCCCCACAGGGCAGGGCCGGCTTGTCGCAGGGTAACCCTTCGTACGATTTTTTCCCACAGGGGCAGCTTCGCCTGCCCGAAAGCGGGCAATCTCCGCAGTCCCCTGCATGGCACTCCACCTCGCACTTGTGCTGCCCGCATGGAAATTTTTTCCCGCAGATCTTCCCGCAGCTGAAATTTCTTTCTGCGCAGGGAAGGGTTTTTTTCACCTGCCCGCACCGGCAAGAAAAGGTTCCCTCCCTGTCGCAGGGCGGGCAGCTGCCCGGATGACACGTGGCGTCGCAGGAGTGGATGCCGCAGGCGAGGCGGCTGCCGCAGCGGGCAGCGCAGGAAAATTCATGCTGCCCGCAGCGGCAAACGTCCTCCTTCTTGCCACAGTGGCAGCGGGAGCGAATGAGCTGGGGACACGGAGGACAGGGACCAGGGTGACACAGCAACGTGCACCTATGACCACATGCCACGTCAGCTTCCCTCTCCGCATCCCCTCCCTCTCCCCCCAACCCTCCCATTTTCCCCCTTCCAGCTCCCCCATCCCTTCCCCCTCCGCCTCCCCCTCCCCCTCCCCCTCCGCCTCCCCCACCCCTCAGCTCTCTCTCACAGGGTTCCCCACAGGAGTGGGGGGCCAGCCAGGGGTCAAAAGGAGGATCCTTCACCCGCCCGCAGTAGCATCGGTAATCCCGAGGCAAATCACGATCGGGATACTCGGTTCGGCACTTGGGGCAGTGCCACGTGGCAGGTTTTGGTTGGCCCTTAGAGGACGAGGAAGAGGAGGAGGAGAGAGTGGAGGCTTGTATACCCTGTCTGGCCCACGACTGAATACAGACAAGATGGAGTGAACAGTAACAGCCGCCCAGGCACGACCAGATCGGATCTGAAGATCGGATCCGCTCCAGGCACACCAGACAGCTGGCGCCACCCGATTGAACGGCGTTCAGGTGATCCCGGATCTTCTCCAGACCTGCTGTGAAAGTAGGATCGGCAGAAACAGGTTCGGAAATGCCACTCCCCGACTTCCTCCCTCCTCCCCCTCCCCCTCCCCCTCCCCCCCTCCCTGCTAGATAAGCCCCGAAAATCGCCTCTTCTAGCCGTTCCACGCTAGCCTTCCCCTTGGATCGCCCTCCCCCTTCCGCCCCTTCCCCCTCCCCCTCCGCGTCCGCCTCGCCCCCCTCCTCCTCGTCGCTGCTGTCGGAGAGCAGCGCGGGGAACTGCTGCGCCAGGCGCGCGGGGTCCGTGATGAAGGGCAGCGGCCGCATGGCGGACGGGAACGCGGAGGGGAACGCGGACGGGAACGCGGAAGGCGGCTGGGGGAACGCGGCGGCGGAAGCGGGGAACGCTCCTCCGCCAGCGGTAGGAGCGGCGGAAGACGAAGCGGAAGCGGTGCTGCTGGTGCTGTTGCTTGCGGCACTACTACTAGTACCCATGCTACGGTTCGGTCCCCACCCCCCTGCTACCCCTCCTCCGCCACCGCCGCCCCTGCCTGGTCCGCTTCCGCCTGTGCGCGCATCTCCCCCTCCCCTTCCGCTTCCCCCGGTTCCGCCAGACCAATTGGAGCTTGCGCCAATGCCCGCGCCGGCTCCCCCGCCTGTTCCCCCGCCTCCGCCCGCTCCCCGTCCGCGTCCGCCTGCAGTTCCGCCGCCGTCGCTCGCGCCCCCGCCCCTACCTCCCCCTCTTTTCGCGCCGCGCCCGCCGCTCCCCCCTCCACGATCTCCGCCGCCGCTTCCGCGGCCCTGCGCTGCCGTGGGCCCGCTGAACGCGGGATTGGCCCCCAGAATTCCGGAGGACGGCGCGAGTTGCGGTCGAATCAGCTGCGGCGGCTGCTGGAGCTGCGGCTGCCGCGCGCCTCGTCCGCGTGCCGCCTGACGAGACGGCACCTCGCTCCACTCGCCGTCCTCCATTGCTACGAGAGGTATCGCGTGTTAAAGAAAAAACGGTTTAACCCTGCACTAACAGTGATTCGTCTAGCTCCATTCGCCATCGCCCATTGCTACGAGAGGTAACGCGTCGAGATCCCGTTTATCCCTGCATTATCCGTCTTTCCCTTCAATCAACGCTTCACACTAAGTGCGTGAGGAACCGCATTCGCGACAGGCAAGTACTTGATGTGATGTGAGCCTTCTGGTGATCTAGATAGATAGATTGTCAAAACTAAATCAAAATTTTAACTTTTATTGCAGTTTCGGCTCTCGTAGCTCAGTTGGTTAGAGCGTATGGCTGTTAACCATAAGGTCGGTGGTTCAAGCCCACCTGGGAGCGCTTTTACGTTTGCCTAAGGTTTTGTTCAAATCGAACCAATGTATGAGAATATGCCGATTTTGTTGCAGCTAGTCTTCAAGCACATTTCTGCCCAGCCCTCAACCAGCAGCAATCATGGATCTCCCAGCCAAGATCCGCTTGTCACATTGCCTCATCCCAAACACTGAGCCTTATCGGCTTGTTCCTCTTCCTCGACATTGCCTTGCAGCTAGGTTGTTTGTTAGGTAAGCTCTAGATCTGCAAACCATGGTAAAACACAATTGCAATCCACTTCGAGTGCTCCCTATTGCTTTCAACCCTGTCGCGTCTGTCATTGTTGATTCGTGGTCGTCCCTGCTGATGCACCATGGCCGCCTCGTTCCTCAAAGGTAATTTCCTCTTGCCTTGCCTTCGATTTCATGTTTCGTCGCTCAATCCCTCAAATTTTGATTCCCTGCTTATATTGTACTGTCAGATTTATATGACATAGCTACTGTAGGCTATAGTGGGGTAGCACATATGGGGTACAGTTTTCTAGGGTTTACATTTGTACCCAACTTTCCCTTAGTCAATTCATTCTCGTTCAGTTTCTCATGGTATCGAGCAAGTTCCCCTGTGGGAACTGTTCCTAGGGCCCACCACCTTTTTTTTTCCTGCCCGGAGCGCGCTCTACACTGCCCGAGTCGCGCTCCTCTCTCTCGACCCTGTCGCGCCGCCTTAGCGGCCCCGTCGCGTCGCGCCTGCGGCCCCGTCGCGTCGCCCTCGCGGCCCCTGCACGTCGCGCCGCCCTAGCGGCCGCGTCGCGCCGCCCTCGCGGCCCCGATCCGCCGCCCTCGCGGCTCCTTCGTGTCGCGCCGCCTCGCGGCCCTTTCACGCCGCCCTCGCGGCCCTTTCTAGCCGCCCTCGCGGCCTCTTCAAGCCGCCCTCGCGACCCCCCCCCTCCTAGCCGTCCTCGCGGCCCCGTCGCCTACCCCTGCGGCCCCGGCGCCGCCCTTCCCTGCCTCGGCGCCGCCTCTGCTGGCCCCGTCGCCTACCCCTGCGGCCCCGGAGCTGCCCTTCCCGGCCCCGGAGCTGCGCTTCCCGGCCCCGGCGCCGCCTCTACTGGCCCCGACGCCGCTCCACCCGGCCCCGACGCCGCTCCACCCGGCCCCGACGCCGCTCCACCCAGCCCCGCCGCCGCTCCACCCGGCCCCGCCGCCGTCCCCACGCGGCCCCGCCGTCACCACCGAGCCGCCGGCGCCGCCGAGTTACTGCCGAGCCGCCCGATCCACCAGAGCCGCCCGAGCCGCCGCGCCACCTGAGCCGCCCGAGCCGCCGGGTCGCCGAGCCGCCGAGCTGCAGTTGCTGCCGAGCCGCCGTACCGCCGAGCCGCCCGAGCCGCCCGAGCCGCCGAGTCGCCGAGTCGCAGTTGCTGCCGAGCCGCCGTACCGCCGAGCCGCCCGAGCCGCCCGAGCCGCCGAGTTGCCGACCCGCCGAGCCGCTCGAGCCGCCCTGTCCGGTAAGAGCAGCGCCTCTGTCACTGCACTGCCCTTACCCTACTGTTCGCGCTGCTAGTCTACTGCTGTCATGGCTACCCCTAGTGTCCTCGCTTTTGACGCTGAGGGTCGGGCCATTGACTTTGACGTCTGGGTAGATGACCTGCAGCTTTTCCTACAGTGCGATAGGGCAGACGGTCTCTCCCTCTTTGACCTCACCTCTGGTGCCTCTCCTGCCCCTGCTGCTGATGCCGACGCCACTGTTCGCTCACAGTGGGCCACACGCGATGCTGCTGCACGTCTTGCTGTGCGTCGCCACCTGCCTACCTCTGAGCGTGCGCACTTCAGCCAGTACAAGAGTGCTCACACCTTGTACGACGTTGTAGTTGCGCGCTACTCCTCCCCTGCCACTGCTGCACTGAGCCGCCTCATGCTACCGTACCTCTTCCCTGACCTTGCTGCCTTTCCCACAGTCGCTGACCTCATTACGCACCTCCGCACTAGTGACACTCGCTACCGCGCTGCGCTTCCTGCTGAGTTCTGCGCCAAGAACCCCCCCCCCATGTACATCACCCTCTACTACATAGTCACCCGGCTCCCTGACTCCCTTCGCGTAGTCAGGGACCACTTCCTCTCAGTTTGCCCCACCACTCTCACCGTTGACCTCCTCGAGAAGGCCCTCCTAGCAGCAGAGAAGAGCATAGTCGCTGTAGGAGCCTCTCGTGGTGACCCTCGCACCCCCGTCTTTGAGGGGTGTTCCCCCTCCCCCCTTTTGCCCTCTGTTGCCTCTGCTGCTGCGGCCGACCTCGTTGGTTTCGAGTCGGTCGGCGCTGCGTCTGCCCCGAGCGGGAGACGCCGCACCGGCAAGGGCAAGGGGGGCAAGGGTGCTGGAGGGGCTGGCGGGGGTGGCGGAGGTGGCGGTGGCGGCAGTGGAGGGGGTGGGGGTGGTGGTGGGAGTGGTGGCGGGGGTGGAGGTGTCGGTGGCGGCAGTGGAGGCGGAGGCGGCGGCGGCGGTGGCGGTGGGAGCGGAGGTGGCGGAGGTGGCGGCGGTGGAGGAGGAGGCGGCGGAGGAGGTGGAGCTGGTCGGGGTGGCGCTGCGTAGAGGGTCGGCTCCGGTGGTGGTCAGCGCCAGCAGCAGCAGCAGCAGCGGCAGCAGCGCACTCGTGACACCCCCCCCCCTCAGCAGCTCCGTGAGTGGTACGCTGCACGCCAGCGGGGTGGGGGTACTGGTCCTTGCACCTACGTCCTACGCACCGGCGACCGCGCGGGTGAGCAGTGCGGGGGTGCGCACTCCACCCAGCGCTGCTTTGGCCGCCTGACGGACGCTTGGTGTCACCAGTTCCCTGAGGCCACTGAGATCCCCCGCTGGGGCGAGCTGTCTAGGGCGGGTGTAGCTGTCTTTGACCTTGACTTTGATGCTATTCTTGCTGCCATGTATGTTGTGACTATTAGTGATGAGGGTGACTGTTACCGGTGTTTTCCGCCCGACCCGGGCATTGAGACTGCTGCTCTAGGTACTGGTGAGGCTGCTGCTCTAGGTGCTAGCGAGGCTGCTCCTCTAGGTGCTCGTGCGTCTGCTCCCTCAGGTGCTGGTGAGTCTGCTCTCTCAGGTACTGCGTCGGCTTCGGCCTCCCACACCTTCACCCTTGACTCGGGGGCTTCTCGCTCCTTCTTTCGAGACCGCACCACAC